TAACATGCTTAAAAGTTTGACTTTCATAAGTAAGGAATAGACCTATTGAAAGTGATCTTTGGCATGTCCCTTCTCACAAAATTAAGATTTGGAGTTTGATTTACTTGGAATTAGTGACACATTCCACATAGTGTGTCTGTATCAATAAAAGTTTTTAATTTGCAATCAGAAGTTAGGTTCAAGAATTTCAACAGTGAATGCGAAGTTCTGCGCAATCTTCGCCATCAAAATCTCACAAAAGTGATTGGAAGCTGTTCTAATCTTGAATTTAAAGCCCTAGTGCTTGAGTATATGCCTAATGGTAGCCTGGAGAAGTGGTTGTATTCATACAACCTTAACTTAAATGTTCTTCAACGGTTAAATATAATGATCGATGTTGCATGTGCACTTGAATATCTCCACAACGGCTACTCAGTGCCTGTGGTTCACTGCAATTTGAAGCCTAGCAATGTTTTGCTGGACGATGATTTGGTTGGACATGTTTCTGATTTTGGGATGACAAAATTTCTGGGAGAAGAAATGGCAGTACATACGAAGACTCTTGCTACATTCGGTTACATTGCACCATGTGAATCTTCTAACTTTAGAATCTGGTGTCGTTCTTCTCTTCTCTATTAATGTGTATTATATTCTTGAGATTATTGTCCAGTAAAGACCTAGTTTGAGAGTCAAAATGAAAACGGGCATCAATTTTCAAAACTATGCAAACAAGCTTCACCTATAAAATATCTCCACTCCCACCACTGCATCAACCCCTTGCAATGTTTCTCCCGAGTAAGAAGGAAGGGGGGCAATGAATGCCTTTTCTAATAAACCAAAATTAGTTTTAGTACAACTGAAGACATTTAATAAAAAATAATTTTAAAAAATTTAATAACTTTGTAGCGGAAATCTTCGAGAAAATTTTGATTCCTAGCTCAGAAAACAATCAAACGAATACCACCTTAGCCAAGCTCGACCCACAACCGTTTTGCACTTTGGTTGCCCCTATTTTTCCACCCAAAAAGGATGACAGTTGTAGCTACAATTTTAAACATGTGAAGGGAGGAAGAAGAAAGGATGAAGCAATGGTTGAAACTCTCAAATACCCACCCACATGCCGGCTGCCTCTCTCTTTCTCTCTTCTATTGTAGCTATGCTTGGACAAAAAAGTCGAAAAACCGATTAAATCAATCAAATCGAACGACTCGAGTCGATTCGAGTCGGTTTGACATGGGTAATTGGTTTTGTTTGTTTGTTTATTTTTTAAACTAAACTAGGTCGGGTCAACCATTGTTTGAAGTCTCAAACTGCTGGTTAATCGAACCGACCCAATATACTACATGTTTACCTTTTTTTCTTAAGAAAAATAAAAATCAAAAGATAAGCCATAATCTCATAA